TCTCTAGTTTGAACCCAGAGTAATTCTTTATAGGTAATGAGACAAATTTCTCTGGGAATTTATCTGGTTTGGAGAGAATTTCTCTGGTTTGGACAGAATTTCTCTAGAACCAGAATTTCTCTGCTTTGGACAAAATTTCTCTAGTTTGGACATAATTTATCTGGGTCTAGAATTTCTCTGGTTTGAACCAGAATATCTATGATTTTATACACCTTAGAACCATACAAAGCCTACAAACATAATGACTCTTGTACTTAGCTTATAGAAACCATATATTGTAATAAGTAGGGCACATTTGGCTGCTATTGATTCTTCTTACCATAATATGTATGGGAACTCACTGAAAAAGGTAATTTGTTCTTAATATCGTCACTGTCTCTTTTTATCGGAAATTCTCGTTATGATTTTTAACAAATTAAGATAATTACAAGCTGTAAAAAGTGAAACTTCAGGGAAATTTGAGCTTGCCCTTTTGACAATTCTATAGTATACATATAATCCTGCAAAGTACTTTGTAAAGGTATTTATCCAGTCTTCAGTTTTTCTTTTCTTATTAATGTAATTAGGACTTCTTAGGATGCATATATATATGGTTGTATGTAATAGTTTTAGGGACTAGACTATCATTTGAGTTCTGAACAACTAGTTTTTGAGATATTGACTTAGGATTGTGACTTCCCAATTTCTTTGTTCTTCAATAATACTTCTATGCAACGCCACTAGTGCATAATGTTTTCTCAATTTCATTTTTGGTCAAGACAATATGCAATATATCTTTACTTTTTGTGATGGGATTATAGTTCTCACAACATATGGAGTACATAATTTTCATTTTAACATATAAAGGCTATTTTGTTTTGATTGTTGTGTTTGTTTTTTTATTTTTTTATTTTCCTTATATATATATATATATATATTAACTCATATGATCCATCATGGGGATTCAAGTTCAATCCATTGATAAATACTCTGGAACATTACAGGTATTACATAGGGCAATGAAAGGATTGGGAACCAACGACACAACACTTATAAGGGTTATCATGACAAGAACCGAGATTGATATGCAATACATTAAAGCCAAATACCAGAAGAAATACAGATAATGAGGTAAATTCTCTACAGGTAATGATGATATCTATCATTATTTACATGATATCAATAATGATAAACCAGAGTTTGAACCCAAGTGTTGCATATTAATAATGATAAACCAGAGTTTGAACCCAAGTGTTGCAAATTCTCTACAGGTTTGAACCCAAAGTAATTCTCTATAGGTAATGAGGCAAATTTCTCTAGGAATTTCTCTAATTTAGAGAGAATTTCTTTGGTTTGGACAGAATTTCTCTGGAACCAGAATTTCTCTGGTTTGAACAGAATTTCTCTGGAACTCTGTGGAAGTCTAGAGAAATTCTCTAGATCGAATTTTCTCTGGATCGATTCAAGAGACCTTAGATATTATGAAAATATTGAATTTCCTTTATGCTATAAAATCTTCATACTAGGGACCTTAAAAAAAAATTAGTATACAATGATTATTAAAAGACTACATTAATTACCTAATATTTATATTATTTATAGAATGTTATTGACAATACTGGTAGCACTTATATAAAAAATTTCTTAAAAATTAAAATTAATAAAATCGTGTATATGATCAACTACATCACAATCTATATATATATGAACTAATGAATTAGCTATAATGCTTACTCCACACACAAATATATATATATATATATATATATATATTAACAAACATGAATGCAAAAAAATTTAATTATTAATATTGCATAATATATTAGGCTCACCTGCTAATCTTGAATGCCAAAATCACCCAAATAATTAAGAGAAAGACTATGGTGCACACTTTTTATGCAACTTATAACTAAAAAAGAAAATGATATAATTTTAATTTTTTAAGTCATAATTAAAAAAATCATAATTAAACACAATATCAGACATAATTAAAAAATTCATAAGTCATAATTAAAATAATGTCATAACTAAAGAAGAAAATTGGTCATAATTAAATAATAAAATGAAAAATGACATAACTAGAAGTGAATATGATACACTATTTTTAAAGGGATATACATTAGAATTTCCCAATAATTAAAACAACAAATTACATTGACGCCGTTAGAATAAAAGAAAAATTAGTAAAACATCCCTCTCAAACTTTGGATAGTATGAGAGGTCCAATATATATATTTTTTTTTATTAGTTAAGGTCCCTCGATGAAATTTCTCTATGATAATATTAGATAAATTTTGAAATTTCTCTATAATCATATTAGAGAAATTTCTTTGTGAAAATTAAAATTTCTTTGTGTTGGGGCGAAATTTCTCTGCGTTGAATTTTCTATGTAAAAATGTTGAGGGACCCCAACTATTATGAAAATATTGTATGTCCTTTATCTTATAAAATCTTAATATCATGGACTTTAAAAAAAATTCCCATAAAAAATAGAAATAATTACAAAAAAAATTCCTAAAGCTTGAGTCTTATAATAAAATAAATCATAAGTTTTTAATTTAGTCAATTTAAATTCTAATCTTTTGATTATTTTTTCAATTGATAAAAAATTAAAAATTCAGGATTTATTTTGTTATAAAACTCAAATCCTGATTTTTTTTTTAATTTCCCCAAAAAATAATAATGTCATCTTTATACACTAAAATGTATATGTATATATATATATATTTTATTCTTATATTTTTACACCATCTATATATATTAGTTTTTCCTTTAACATTACTAAAATAAAAGAAATTATTTACACAAATACCCCTTAAATTATTAAAAAGCATCACTTTAAAATCGTAAATCATAAAAGCATACAAGTGGATCCATAAATTGTTGAAAAATATCATTTTGTCCCTTAAAATATAAAAGCGTATAAATAGACCCATAAACTAATGGCGTATTTCACTTTAACCCCTTTCATTAGAGGGTTCAATCTGTACTCTTTTATAATTTACAGAATAAAGTGATACTTTTTAATAATTTAAGGGTCTATTTACACACTTTTATAATTTAGGAGATCAAAATAATATTTCTTAATAATTTAAGACATACAAATAACCTACATAAAAATGGAAATAATTATACCAAAATTATTGAACATATTATATTTTTTTTCAAACTCGAGAAACACGTCAATTGAATATTCCCTAATTGGTACGGTGTGACCATGATGAATTAAAAAATGAGAAAATTAGGTTGCGTTTGGTAGAGTTTTGTAAATATGATTTGAGAATATGAGTTGTATTTTGAGTTTGTGAGTTATGGAATTATGATTTAAGTGTAGAAAATTTATTTAGTTATGATTTTTTAATAGAGTGTTGAATTGAGTTTTGAATTGTATATGGGATTAAGTTTTGAAAGTTTGATGTGATATGTGAAATAAAAAAATTTGTTTGGTGATGAGTTTTCAAAACTTAATTTAACCTATAATTAATAATCAAACACACAACTCATAACTCGATATCTGTATTTTTGATCAACAGTCATAACCAAACTATTTTTAAAATACTCAAAATAAAAAAATGATTGTTTTTTCAATTAATTGTTTTTAAGTAATTTTTTTGAATAATTTTTTTTTCAAATAACTTCTATGTCAATTATTTTTTGTCAATTCATTTTTTAGGCCTGTATAAACATTAAAAATATTTTAAATATTTTAAAATTATTTAGAAAATTAAAATATTAAAAATATTCTGAAAAATAAAATATTAAAAATATTCCAAAAATCAAAATATTAAAAATATTCCAAAAATCTAAATATTTACAATTAAAATATCAAAATATTAAAATTAAAATATTAAAATATTTTTATGAAAATTAAAATATTAAAAATATTCCTATAAAATAAAATAAAATATTTAAAATAAAAATTTGTTTTTGAGTTATAAAAAGAGTTTTGAGTTGTATGTTTGGTTATAAATTTTGAAAAGTAATTATTATAATTTGAAATGAGTTTTGAGAAATGAGTGTAGAATTATGATTTGAAAGCTGCAACCAAATACCACACTCAAATCAATAGTGAAATTATGTTTTGAAATCTAAACCAAACACTGGCCTCGATCCCCAGCGGGGAACCCCTCACCCCCCCGGCCCCGCCCCAACGAGGATTGGGTTTCTCTGACCCTTGGAAAATCCCCGTAACTATCTCTCTCTGTTTAGCTTGTCATCATCAACAACATCATCGATCATCAACACCAACATCATCGATCATCAACAACATCATTTTCATCAACAAAAACATCATCAACGGAAACATCATCAAAAAAAAAAAAAGACAAATCTGGTGGGAGGGAGGAGCCGACAGATCTTCTCAGATCTGATGGTGGCCTAGCGGAGAAAGACGGCTGCGAGAGGCGACGGAGGAGGAGGAGGAAACGACGGAAAGGCGGCAGTGGCCTGGAGGAGGAGGAGGCGACGAGAGGAGGAGCCGATTGTGTAGCGTCTGTGAAGAGAAGAGAGAGAGTAAGAGAAGAGAGAGAGAGAGAGAGTGAAAGAAGAGAGACAGATCAAAGATAATATAGATCAGAGGTATATAATAGATTAGAGGGAGGGGGGTTTTATTTCGGGGAGAAACGGGGCGGGAAACGGGGCCAGGGACGAGCCGAGTCCAGGGCTGTGAAAGTGATCCCCGTTCCCAGCCCGAATTTGATCGGGGATTCAATTTTAAATATCATCCCCGGCCCCTCGGGAGTATTTTTCGAGGAAAAATTACTCTTATCGGGGACGGGGGGTCAGGTTCCCGTCGGGCCGGTTTCAAATTGTCATCCCTACCAAACAGAGCCTTACATTTCAGTCATTTTCTTACAAATAATTATAGGCTTATAAAAAATATATATATAACTTTTATTATTAATATTCATAAAATTTATTAGTTATTTGAAATTATTTTAAAAAAAATTACACTAAATTGGAATTTTATCATAAAAAGAATTAGGTGAATTTAATATATGTAGATTCTTTATCATATTTCCTTTTCCAATCATTTCATCTTCAAAATTCTTTGAACACGAGCATGCAAGAGAACTGAAGTCCGAACACGAAGAGAACCTGCCAGAAAAAAGATTAACAATCTCAACAAAATACTAGAACCCGCATCTGTAAATTCAACTATCCATTTACTTTGCCACTTGGGAAGATTACAAGATGCTCTAAAACTCATCTTCTCTAACCCAACCCACTCGGATTATTCTCTGTATTCAAAAATTTTGCAGCTTTGCATCCACAGAAAGGCAAAAATGGAAGGCCGTTTGATTCATGGTCATCTTTTAACCAATGGGCTTCATTCAAATGCATATTTAAACACAAATTTAGTTATATTCTATTAGAAGCTCGGTGACATGGTTGACTCCCGTAAAGTGTTTGATAGAATGTCTGAGAGGAGTTTGGTCACTTGGACAGCGTTGGTATCTGGGTATTCTCAAAATGGGTACTCAGAGGAAGCTCTTGTGGTGTTTTCAGCAATGCATAGGATTGGTGTTAAGGCTAATCAGTTCACTTACGGGAGCGCTTTGAGGGCATGTACGAGTATGATGTGTTTGGACAGAGGGAACCAAATTCAAGGATGTATTCAGAAGAGTAGGCTTGTGAAGAACTTGTTTGTGCAGAGTGCATTGGTTGATTTGCATTCCAAGTGCGGGAAATTGGAAGACGCTTGTTACATTTTTGAGTCGATGCCGGAGAGGGATGTGGTTTCTTGGAATGCGATGATAGGTGGGAATGTTGTTCAGGGTTTTGCTGATGATGCCTTACGGTTGTTTCGTTCAATGCTTAGAGCAGGTATTATCACATATTCTTGAAAATTTTAAATTTTAAATTATTATGCTTGTGTTACTTACCCAAAAAAAATGCTTGTGTTCTTGCATTATCCAATGTTGGTTTGATGCATAAATGATAGAAGAACACAAAATCAAACTGTGTAAATTTATTTAGGTAGTTAGATGGTGTCAGCCAACAAATTTCATATGGTTAAGTGTAATTTTGAACTCGTAGATTTGGAGAAACTAAAATGCTATTTTTGAATACAAGCTAAATAGTTTTATGAAGTGAAATGTTAATAGGATTTGGTTAAGCCCAAAAGATATCTTCAAAGAAAAAAATCCCTGAAAACACGAGTAAAAATGTGAGAGCAAAACTAGATTCTCACAGTATAACTTGATTTTGAGGGGTCTCATAGGAATCCACTAAAATTCTTTTGAACACCATGAGTGATGCATGCTCATCCCATCATCTCTTTTTCCATCTAGATTCCTAGAAGATTTGTTATCAGATTATTCTGTTTCATTTGCACTTTTTTGGGTTCCCCAAAATAAGTAAGGTACCTTCACATTTAGTTGTTCGTAAAGTTGGCAATCAATTTTTTAAGAGAGTGATAATAGATGCGAAGAAACCTTTTCTCATTAAAAGCATGAACTTTTTAACATACTTGCAATGAATCTTGATACTACTTATGCTGCATTTTCAATGTTTGAGTTGCTTGGCAAGCTCGAGACAGAAGATGTAACCACTTATTGTGTTTTTCTTTTTTTTCTTTCAAATGAACATTCATTTGTGTTTCAACCTAACCATAGTCAATCTTGTTTGATTAGATCTTTATTATGTATGCTCAACTTAATGAACTACTATCCACTGAAAGTTACCAATCAATGCCATATATTACAAACAAGTGTAAGCACTGATATTTTAGCTAGTACTTCTGTTTCATGAATGTGGATATATTGTTTCCCCTTATGAATTTTTTCTTGCCCTTATTCCAACTCCAAATTTTAATAGGTACGATCCCTGATTCCTTTACCTTGGGTAGTATTATGAAAGCCTTTGTTGGAGGAAGCAGTCTGATGAAGGTCATCCAGATACATGGATTCATCATTCAACTGGGCTGTGAATCACATAATGTTTTGATTGGATCACTGATTGATGCATATGCAAAATGTGGGAGTGTTAGAATAGCATATCGGATTTACAAGAGTACGCTAAAAAAAGATACAATGGCGTGCACTGCATTAATCACTGGATATGCAAGTGAAGATATCTATAGTAGAGATGCCTTTGATCTCTTCAATGAAATGCGTCAGATGCATATGGGAATTGATAATGTTATATTATGCTCTATCCTCAATATATGTGCCGATACAGCATCACTGGACTTGGGAAGACAAATTCATGCCTTGGTGGTGAAATGTCAATCCAAACATGATGTAGCCATGGGAAACACTCTCATTGATATGTACTCAAAATCTGGAGAAATTGAAGATGCTGAACAAGTTTTCAATGAGATGAAGCAGAAAAATGTTATTTCATGGACGTCATTGATTGCCGGATATGGGAAGGATGGCTACGGGCATAAGGCGATTGCGATGTATAAGAAGATGGAATATGAGGGGTTGAAACCAAATGACGTTACATTCCTGACTCTTCTCTTCGCTTGTAGCCATGCTGGCTTGACTACTGAAGCAACGGAATGCTTCAATAACATGATTGGTAAATACAATATCTTGCCAAGGGCTGAGCACTATTCTTGTATTGTGGACATCTTTGCCCGTGGAGGGAAGTTAGAAGAAGCCTATATTCTAATACAAAAGATGAATATTAAGCCTAATGCCTCACTTTGGGGTGCTATTCTTGGGGCATGCAACATCTATGGTGATATGTCTCTTGGAGAAGTAGCAGCCAGGCATTTGTTTAATATAGAACCTGAGAAGTCGGTCGACTATGTGGTTTTAGCAGGAACATATGCTGCAGTTGGCTTGTGGGACAGTGTTTGGAAGAAAAGGAAATTAACGGAAGAGAGAAGTCTAATAAAGTATCCGGGATACAGCCTTCTTCGGTCCATTAAAAAGAGGGTGCCTCTTTTGCAGCCAAAAGTGAAAATGCTGCACTGAACTGCATACATTTCTTGTCCTTATTGGGTTTGATGCAAGTCGTGTATTGATGCCACAAGAGAATTGCTGGAGATGGTTGTTTCATCATAATATATTAATGATCCAAGGACATCAAGGAGGTTTTGGATAGTACTACCCTGATCAGATTGTCATGCAGTCATACTTCTTAGTTTCTATAAATTCAGGTATCCATCCTTCTCCTGTTAACTTTTTATTTCTTCCAACCTTCTCCATTTCAGGTGGAAAATGTCAACAAATCATATACGTTGCTGCTTGATAGATGTTGTTTGTAGTGGGTAAATTACACTATTCACCCTCAGACTTTCACCCGAATTTTACTTTCGTCCCCCTATCTTCTAATTGTAATAATTAGATCCTCACACTTTAACTTGCATTTCAATGGGGTCCTCCCATCACTTTGGTTAAAAATTTGGACAGAGAGTGCTGACCTGAGGGCCACGCCACATGAGCGCATTTTAGGGACATTAGAAGGAAAAAAAACTTCCATGACAAATTACACTCTTCGCACTCTAAATTTCTCTCAAATTTCACTTTAGTCCCTCATGTTTCAACTTTTACTCAAATTTCAAACGGTGGAGTGACGGGAGGATTACATTGAAACACGGGTTAAAATCTGAATATTTAATTGTTACAATTAGAAGATGGGGGACCAAATAAAATTTGGGTGAAATTTTTTAGTATGAAAACTGTAATTTACCCTTGTGTATTTTTAACGTATTTTTCTGGTAGTTAGTTTACATAAACTTCTTAATCAATCGTACTTTTGTACTATATTGGAGGTCAGTGCCACAAATTTTAATATGAAAGAAATTTATCCTCCGCAATCTTCAGTTTGTCCCAATTTGTCTCTCCCTTTTTTTTTAGCGGTATATCCTCTTTTCAGATGTCAGGAGGATGCTGTTCACTGCTAGTTATTTGATTTTTCTCCGGAATCAGAGCTGAGAGTTGAACACCAAGCAGCCTGCTGGTAGAAAGGAACAATGCATCGATGGTAGCTCACAATGTGAGTTTCTTCATATTATGTATGTTATATATTGTTAGCATTTGATTTCATAAATTTGTATGTTTTAAATTCACTAGATCAATGGAGCTGAAATTATCAAGTAGCAATTACAGACATCTCTTTGAAATTGGCTGTTGTGACTGTTGTTGATGGGTAAGCTATAGTTGTGTATCTTACTTGTGTCAGAGTTTGACTGAAATTTAACAACCAGATCTTCTCAATGTGGAATGGGGTGTGTAAACATTCTCATCTGCATGTACAATTGAGACACAAAAATGTACCAACTAGTGGTTGCAGAGAAGCTTTTGAGAGATGACGGATATGGAGGAACAAAATTGCTGATAGAAGGGTATTAATGTGTAAAGCATCATCCAAGTTGGAATGAAAACTAGCTGATCTTGGTGGAGATTGAGCAGAAATGCCATTGTTAAATCATGCAAGTGTTCTTTAACTTCGCAGATGTCTCAAGTGATATTTAATCGCACGTAATATATTAGAGTTCTGTAAGAGCGATTAGCCTTTGCAACCATCTTCTTCTCCTACTATACTTTTTGGACGTGTAATTCTCAGTTATGTTTGCACACGTGTACAGTCTAAAAAATTTGTAGTACCTAAGACTATCTTGTTTGGTTGTATATTTGTACATTTGTACATCTGATGATGAAGTTGCCATATTGCAAATTATTTATTTATTTTTATTTTTTTAATATGTTACAGGGATATGTTCTTGCATATGCTTTAAACCAAGCATCCCTTCAAATTTTCTTTTATACATTTTGCATCACTAGAGGCAGTGGCAAAGTCAGGAAATTAAATCAAGGGGAGCACTTATTAATTACAATTTTATTTTTATTTTTTTCATAACCAACAATAAGAAGATAATAATAATTTTTGAATTAATATTAAGTACAAAAAATTAAATAAATTGTTACAAAAGTATTTCACATAAAGTTTTACAATTAATTTCGAGTAAAATCGAAAACAAAATATTGCATGTAACTAGTGTATCATAGACAATACAAAAAAATCATATATTTAAGTCGTAAAATAAATTATACAATGGCAAGATAAATCAAATTTTTACAAAATTTGAGTAAAAATTTCATATAATAGTGATATCACGTCATTATTGACATATGATATCACCAATCAATAGTAAAGCAGCATATGAAGGGTGAACTCCACATGCAAATATAACTAACACTCTAGTAATTTTTACATATATATGGTGAAATTAATTATATTTGTATATTAATAATGATGGATATTACCTTTATATTAAGATTTTTTCACAAAATTTTCATACATAAAAATATAAGTCGTTGTAGTTACTTCATTTTCAATAAAACAATTACTATTGTTTTCATAAATTTAAAATTGCCCTTGATATTTTATTCTAAATATTATTTTTATTTAAAATTTTATTTATATACATAAAAAAAATAAATAAATAATCCAGAGAGGGCACGTGATCCCCTAGTCCCCATGTGACTCCGCCACTGACTAGAGGCATGCATTGGTGATTTGGGATATCAGAAATTATGTTAGGAAGCATTTTTGGAAGGAAATTGTGTTACACACGTAATGTTAAGGCTATGTTTATCGAACTAATATGATATTTTCGTAGATGATCTACGCAAATAAAAAAAAAAGTTTATAAAATGAGCAATGTGAATATTCAAGTAGGCTTGTGATGGGCCCACATGAGCGAACTAGACACTTCAACTCTCTTGAAAATAATAATGTTAGGGGCAATAATTAATATACCCAACGAATATAATACAAATGAAGACAAAATTTGCATGTGGATCCCATCACTTAGCGATTGTTTGGGAAGTGTCAGATTAGTATATTTTTTAATTTTTTACGAAAAAATGTGAAATATGAGTTGAGGTTGAAGTGATCTGACTCAAATAAAATAATTATGATTAAAATAAGATAACGTGCCAAACAAACCCATAATGTAATGTAAATTTAACATTGTTTCCAATTAATTTATTTGTTAGTTTTTCTTGAATATTGTTATTTTTGTAGAATTTGTTTTCATATAAATGTATACAATTTTGTAAAGTTAAACTGCTGGATGATGTCAGTAGAGTTTTACACTATGTTTGGGAATCTAGGAGAGAAAAAAAAAAGAAATGATTACTTAAGTAATAAGAGAAAAGAAAAGAAATGATTGTGATTTCTCTCCTTTTTGTTTGGATAAGGAAAAAATAAAAGAAAAGAAATGATTGTGATTTCTCTCATTCTTTTTTTGTTACAAATTTCTCTCATTCTTGTTTGGTTAGGTTTCATTAAGAGAAAAGAAAAGAAATTATTTTATGTTATATTACCAAAATAACATTTTTATATTTTTAATCATTTTATTTCTTTTATTTTTATAGGGACAAAATAAGTATTATGAAAATAGTGGTTTCTTTTCTCTCCCAATCTCTCCACTTTTGGGAAGATTGAAAATGAGGCTTATAAAAAAAATGAGTTTCTCTCCATTTCTTTCCATTTCTTCTCATTTTCTCTCTACTTAGGTTATTCAAACAAATAAGAGAAATACATATCACTCCATTTCTTTTCTTTTCTCTCCAAATCACACAATCCAAACATAGTGTTAAACTTATAATGTAATATAACCTAAAACAGCCATAACCGATGGCCAAATGGATTAGGCGATGGCCTCCGGAGCGGTAGATTGTGGATTCGAGTTCCATTGCGGTCGCCTCTGCATTTATGATTTTTTTGGTCAAAATCATTTGGTATATGAAATACCATCAATTCTTCTTTTTTTATCAATTTTTTTGGTCAAAATCATTTGGTATACTACCATCAAATCTTCTTTTTTTTATCAATTTTTTTTAAAAAAAATAAACAATATGCAACCATGACCTTTTTAAAAAGAATAAGAGTGTTCAACATGTTTGTTTCCAGTTTTTTGAACATACTTTTCAAAAAAATTTACTTTTTTATTTTTCGTATTTTTTTTATTTTTATTGAATTTTTTAAATATTTTAAACAATTTTTTTTAGTTTTTAGATACACAACATAAATCCACTTAAAAAGTATAAATTTTGTGAAAAAATCCACTAAATACCAAAAACACAAAAAAAAATTAATACATTTTTTGTATTTTTATATATTTATTAATTTTTAAAATATTTTTTCATAAATATTTTATTTTTTAGATACATCTAAGTAAGGTACATCTAAAAAAGTAAAAAAAAATGCTTAAATTTTAAAAATATTGACTAAAAACAAAAAAATACGAAAAATAAAAAACTCAATTTTCAAAAAACTTAATCTAAAATACTGAAACCAAACACATAGATTGCTATTTTAGATTAAAAATTAGACCAAAAAAAAACCTCAAAAATTAAACCTCATTTTCAAGTTCAGTGATGTAGCAACCAAGTAGAATATTCAAAGTAACACATTCTCATATCTTATCTAATCATCAACTAATCATATCATTTACATATCATTATATCTAAAAAATAGAGTTGTATATTTTCATCATAAATACCATGATTGTTTGATATTTGATAAAACAATTTTGGCTCATCAAAAGATTTAGTTATTCTTTGAGAAAGAAACCAGCAAGTTTTCATGTCAGTACGCAAGTTTCAAATAAAACCAACTGCAGCCCACCATTAAAAAAGCGCAAAAGAAACAAAGCACTGCTCAAACATCGTCAAGGGCAAGATGTCACGACCCAAACCCGGCCCTATGGGTTTAGCACCGTAACCGGCCAGTAATCCGAGATTACCGAAGGCCTGCTGAATGCTGAACAGTAATACAGTAAAACAGAGTACAGGGCCTGGCGGAAGTCAAAACAGTAAATAAACAATACCCAATGAGCTGTGACAGTCTGTATGCAAAAGGACTTTTCATACATTATACGTAAACAATACAGAACAGTATGCACAATATTTACAATCATTCCGACTAGGGACTCAACTCTATAAAACAGTACGGTAAACATTCAGTCTATACAAAACAGTAAGACGGTATAGAAGGGGGAATTATAAAACACCCCCAAGCCTTAACACGATAGGCTCGGAACCCCGCAGTGAGGCACATAGGCTGGCTTGACAAAACTGGAGTTACCCTGACGCTCTTAGCCGCGGTCTGGTGCCTGTACACCTACATATATATATGAGCAGTGAGCTAAAGCCCAGTGAATAACATAATACGTAAAGGGGTTAAGAATGAATGTCCTTATAGTATGAAAACAGTTCATTTAAACATTTAAACAGTATTCAGTCATTCAGTCAGTACAGTCATATGTGGTACACCCATTAGCATAACAGTACAGTAAACAGTAGGTCTTAAAAGACCGAACAGTAATGATGGCCATCAATCAGTAAACAGTAGCGGTTCCACGAGGGAACCGACAGAGATCTCTGTAACAGTAACAGTAACAGTAAACAGTAGGTACTAAGGATGCCACAGTACAGTTCAGAAATAAAGGACATACATTCATTCAGTAAAATCCAGTTCAGTAAACAGTTCAGTTCAGTATTCAAAAGATAATCAGTTGAACATATCTTTACACAATTGTTACTCACAGAGTTCTGGGCTACATGCAACAAAGGTACACGCTCGAGCGTAAACTTTCCCGCTCGAGCGTACTGTAAAAGTACTGGATGGGTGAAATCTCCGCTCGACGCCCGCTCAAGCTTGAGACATGACTCCGCTCGAGCACCCAATCCTCCGCTCGAGCGTACTGTAAAACAGTGCAGAGAGATGCTGGATGCTCGGATTCCACGCTCGAGCGTCACTTTCCCCGCTCGAGCGTAAGTGCAGAATCTGGGAAACCCAGATTGCACCTCCAAGCTCAAATTCATGTTCAAATGCATCAAAACCAATCCTCTTGGGCCCATTTTCTGGAAAACATTTATAAACACATAGAATAACATGGTTCAAAGCTCAATTTGAGAAATCAAGCCCAAGGGTGTTTAATTCAAACTCAATTCCAAACCACTTTTCAAGAATATGAAGAACATGCAATCATGCATGAATTTAAATCATTTTGAAGCTCCAATTTGATGCTCTAAGGAGCCAATTCTTTTCAAAACATGGTGAAATCATGGACTTAAACATAATTATGAACATGCATGTAACCTTTTGCCATGAAAACAACTCAAACATCTACAATACAAACATGCATGCATGAAATGAGCTTCAAATCAATAACAACGAACCTATTCTAGACTTAAATCACTAGAGGCTCAAGAATCTTGCATGAATAAGCTTAAACACAACAAAGAGGGGTTGAATTCCTTACCTAGAGCTTATATTTTAGGATAGGGAAGCTCAATTGCACAAAACTCCTTCAATTCTTCAAGATCTCAAGCTAAATCAACAAGAACAACTCTCTCTCTCTCTCTAACTCTCTTCTTGGTCGGTTGAGGCAACACAAAGGCTGATGAAATTTTGTTTTAATCAAATGCATTAAGTGTAATAAGGCTCAAAAGGTTTGAGGTAGTGGGCCACTACGAGGCTAGTTCGGTAAATAAGTCCAACTGTGCAATTGATCAATAATTAATCTAATTTACTCATACCTAATCAGTTTTCAGACAATTATACCATAAAATCACATTAATTATGACGATCATAAAACATCAATCAATTCTGGATTCAGCCGCCGATAAGGCCTTCAATTTGCAGTTTAAACATAAGACATGAACAGATCAAACAA